AGAACCAAAGGCGATAAACTCCTAGATCTTGAGGCTCCCTGTACCCACAGCCACTCCGTCTTACCAGGTTTCAGTTGAAGCCTGGTGTCCCCCATCCAGGCTCCTACAGCCTCCAGGCACCATGAGAGGGTAGTCACAGCATCACTTAAGTCACCAGGGATGGAGATATATAATTGGGTATCATCAGCATACTGATGATACCTCATCCCATGGTGTCGGTTGATCTCACCCAACGGTTTCATGTAGATGTTAAATAGGAGCAGCAAGAGCACCGAACCCTGAGGCACCCCAGAGAGTAGGGGCCGCGGGTTGGACCTCTCCCTCCCTATCAACACCAATTGGGTTCAGCCTTGGAGAAAGGAGCTGAACCAGCACAACACTGTGCCACCCAGCCCCAACTCCTGCATGACCCAAAAGGATACCATGGTCAATGGTATCAAAAGCCACCGACAGGTCAAGAAGAGCAAGGATGGATACACTACTCCCATCCTGCTCTTGCCAGAGATCATCCAAAAGTGCGACCAATGCTGTCTCTGTCCCATAACCGGGCCTGAACCCTGACTAACAGAGGTCCAGATAATCCTCCGGGATTCTCTGAAGCTGCTGTGTGACCACCTTTTCCCCCCCCTCTCCAAAAAAGGGAAGGTGGGAGACTGGACAAAAATTGTCCAGAAGGGTGGGATCTAGTGATGGTTTCTTGAGGAGGGGGCGGACCAAAGCCTACTTGAAAGGCTTCAGGAATACCCCCTCCTGCAAGGATGAATTGATTACCACCAGTACCCACCCTAAAGTTACCTCCTTGGTGGCTTTAACTAACCAGGAGGGACAAGGATCTAGGATACAGGTAGCCGCACTAACAGCCCCTAGGATACAGGTAGCCGCACTAACAGCCCCTGTCCACTTCCTCAGGGCCAACAGGGTCAAACCATTCCCAGATAACTGGGTAAGAATGCTCCCTGGGCAACTCCACTGGACCTGCCTCACGCTTGGCCTCCAACTGAGAACAGATCTAAACGATTTTATCCATCAGGTGTTCATCAAATTCCTCCACATGGCTATGTAGATAGCTCTCTGAGCCCTCCCTAACCAAGAGGGACCAAGTGACCCTGAACAGGGCTGTCGGGCAACACTCTGAGGATGCAATAAGAGCAGAGAAATGCTGACATTTTGCTGCCCTTACCGCCACTATGTAGGCTTTAATAGTGGCTGTAACCTGTGTTCGGTCAGACTCGTCCTTAGTTTTCTGCCAGCAGCGCTCTAGACGTCTCTTAGCCCTTTTCAGTTCCCTTAACTCCTCTGTAAACCATGGGGAGTGCCGGGGGTGATGGGCCAAGAGAGGCTGCACAGGCATGTTCCTGTCCAAGGCCCCGGCCACCTCATTATTCCAGGCTGCGGCCAGGACCTCCGCTGGACCATGTGGCAGGGCCTCAGGAACAACCCCCATCTCCCTTTGGAACCCTTGCGGATCCATCGCCGGGGACGGACTGTTTGAATAGGTCCCGCCTCCCTGCACAGGGGGGCAGCATAGGAGGAACTGACGGCCACCAGGGAGCGGTCTGACCATTTCCCAGTACAATTCAAAGTACCCATTTTGACCTGTTAAGGTGCCTTCAAGCCTATCTTCTCAAAACTGTCTTCTCAAAACTGCCTGCTCTGTTTGTTTAGCTTGTGAGGGGTTGCATTGAATCTTCCCACTTAAAGAGATTGGAGGCAGACCTTCTTGGTCATGATCCTGTCCCTTTGGAATAGTCTGCTGTCAGAGGTCCAGATTGCCCCTACTTTGCTGTTCTTACAATAAGGAATGAAAATTATACTTTTTTTGGAGGACCTCTAGAATGAATTGGCTACTTTTGTCACCCACCTGGTAAAGTTACTGATGGTTGGTTTTAATCTTGATTGTTTTTATTAATTTATTGTCAACTTGGTTTAATGTAACGTGTGAACCCAGCTGGGATTGTATATGTCTATTTAACTGGCTGGTGTAATTGGTTGGCTCTGGACACTTCCATGTGAGTATTCTGCACTAATTTGAAACTCAGGTTGTGAGACTAGAAGAAAAAAGGTTGACTGCAGATTGTTTTCAAATGATTTTTTGAAGGCTTAGGCAATGGAAACAAAGGTGTCATATGTGATAAGCCTGCTTTTCACCATAGCCATCTCCCTGGCTTTTTGTGTATCCATGCAGACACCCATATAAAGCCGTTTGAACTTGCTTTGCTGATGTAGAACGGAAAGTTGGAGTTCAGAGGAATATTGTGCTTTGTGCTTTTGAACTGCTGTGAGGTGGGAGGAAGAACTTTTTCTGCTTTGGTATGTGACTATGGTGGTGTGAAGCTGCTCGACTGCTGTAATCAAGTTTGGCTGAAATGGCTTCATACTGTCCTTTGAGTGAATAAAAAAAGGAAAAGAAAACTGAAAAGCTGTGTGGCCCTGCCTCTTTAAATCATCTCCTTCAAACTCATGTCTATTCTCTGCCACAGTGTGAAAGTGCTGTTGTCAGGTACCTGCCAAGTCTGTACCTCTGCTAACCCCTTTATTGTGGTCTTGCTGCTCTTCCTAGATGTGTTTGTCCCACCTGTTTTCTCCAGGGAAGACACGAAAGAAGAAACAGACCAGCAGCTCCTCCCCTTTTGGGTGCTTACTCATTCAAAGATTGAAAAACTGGTTGGACCCCAGAAGAACAATAAAAGCTGGGGCCTACACTGCTAGTTTTATAAAGATCTTACCACACAGAGGTAAAAAACCTGCAGTTCCTTTTTATGTCATGACTAGAATTGCTGAAAATTGATGGTAAAGTTTTTCTCCATTCCAAATCTGGATGAAGCTAAAAATGAACTGTGCATATACCCTAGCATATTAAGGACAAAAAATGGTTGGGGGGGAGGGGGGAGAAAGAAAAGAACTCAATCCCCCAACCCCACTCATATGTATGATATGACATCTTCTTGCTTTGCAGCCTCAGCCACCAACATTTGATCACTCTTTTGTAGCAGAACTAGGTGTGCTCTTCCTGATCTTTGGAGAAGACTGGGCTTTTCAGTCAATGGTTGTCTCCTTTAGGCCCATACCTCATACTTAGCAGAGGATCCATTAGGCACCTTGTACATCTCCTGACACTCACAAGATATCTCCTTCTAACTATTTCATTAGAAACTATTGCTTCCCCTGAAGCAAAATAGTATCCCAGAGAACCCTCTAGCATAGTCCTCCATTTTAATATATGTACCTAAGAATTAGTTCCTCTGAAACTAATTATTTTGTAACTAGGAATGAAACCAATTCATCTGTACCTAAGACTTAGTTCCTCTGAAAGCTGGAAGTTAAGGAGAGTATTCAAGCTACTGTTCCTGGATTTGAATTATTACCATTTCCTCTATAGCCTGAATAAGCACAATTGGGAATGTTCACAAAATGTGTAATCAAACAAACATACTGCATGTAATATAATGTGTGAACCATAGTCACAGAGACCACCTACAATCTCTGAAATAAAAAATGCCCTTCTTCAAACTCAAACGTTGTGTTACTTATCTCATCTGAATTCTTTAAGGATCTTAGAAGTTGCATAGAGTCCCTTCTCCCCCTCTTCCTCTCCCCTCTTCCCATTTCATCTTTGTGAGACTAAATTAAGGGCCTTTGGCCCAGAAAAAGTTGTCAATCACTGTTCTAAATGTTCATACAAATAGAAATGTAGTCAAATATTCTTTTTTCATAGACAAAAATTTGGATTTTAGATTACAAATTCAGTTGGTTAGAGAACTTTTCTCATATGTAATATGCTAGGCATAATGCTGGTGTGTTGATGAATAAATAGCATTTCTTTTATTCTGCTAATCATGTGGCAAATTCAAAATTACCTGCATAGAGTATTTAGATTCCTGTTACATAAAATGCATCAGATGGGAGCATGTTTATTGAGTTTGAATGTTAATAGGAAAAATAACTACAACAAGCAAGAGAGCTTGCCCTAATTATAAAACAGGAAACCATGAAATATCAAGTTGTTTCTATGCTGCAACCTCTGTACTGCTGCAGTTGGCAAGCAGTTTTCAATTTAATATTGTGTTTGTAATGCTAACCACATTTTTTCCTAGGCTCTTTGTTCTGAGAAAAGCAGAAAATGTACATAAACAAGTTGTTGATTGACAAAATCTGATAAAGGGTAGAAGTTGAATATAGATTCCCTCCCCCCTCCATTTATAAGCCTTTTTTGCACATTACAGAACATTTCAGGAATTACTGATTATATCCTAATGGGAAGTTCCTCTAGGTTAAATTAAGAAGTTTTACTCTGAGTTTACCAGGATCTTGGATCAACCAGGCACTGAGTGGTGTACTGTGAACCCCACTCCAAAATGAATGAATGAAGGCAGAACAAAAATTTCATCTGAATCAATTTTAATTTTCATTACATTAAACTTAACTATAGTTAGTTTGCTTATAATCTAACCTAGCATTTATAATTTCTCCTCCTGTCACGTTCAAAATATCAATTTGGTCAAAGTTTCTTAGAGGCATAGCCAAGGCTTCTCAGGGCCACATGAAATCATGGAAGCGACTATTGTGCATTTTTGATGTAGAAGATTAGATAAGTGGGCTTGATTCAGCAAGAACTAGAAGAATGGTATTGTTATTACCATCTATCTCTTCTTCATTGTGTTATTATTAAAGGTATTTCCACAACACATGACTGTGGCGGTCCTATTTTTGCTTCAAAGCAGGGAGGAAGTCTGACAAATGTTAACTGAACATGTATTGCTTTGAAACAGATAATTTGGTTTTGGTTTTAGGCCCAGGTGCAGATTCACCCATCTTCCTAGCTAATTACTTGATGTTTCCCTCAAACAAGGATACAATGAAGATAAGTATCAGATTTCTCACATGGGATCTGGGTTGTGTTTATTTATTTATTTATTAAATTTATCTCCGCCCATCTCCCCTGATGGGGGACTCTGGGCAGCTCACATAACTGATAAAACAATAAATATATATAAAATTAGCTAATTTTATATATTAGGTAAATTCCACAAGAATTATTGTTAATCAAATGAAAGATGGATCCTTTGTCTGATCAAGCAAAGAGAATTATTAGTTCAATATCCCAACTGCAAATACTTTTTTTTTTAATTGTGAAACAATTTCCTCTATTCACTCTACAAGGAATAAAAGAGAATGCGTAATATGAATATGTATATGACTATTGAGAATAAACAATTTAAAAATTCCCACTTTTCTCATGCTAAGGAGCTCAAGGTAGCTAATGGCATGAAATGCAAAATAATTAAAACAACATTCAAAATGCTATAAAAATGCAGTAATAATAAGAGATGATCAAGGTAATCCTGCAGAAAAAATAATGCAGCTCATTTTTTCCTCTTTTTTCACTCAATACAGCGTTGCACTTCATGTAAAAACCAAGCTACGTTGGCTTATCTAATGAATCATGATGATAACAAAACAGAGTTGAGCACAATGTGTGGATTTAACCATTGCATTTAAAAGAGATTATTTCCATGTAGTCTTAGCAGCAGCAGCACCTGGACCAGCCTTGTCTGGCTGGGAAGTTAAGCACAGAGATTGAGGGGTGGGGGGAAGTGTGGGTGGCTGCAGGAAGAGATGGTCAACTTTCCATGAACTTCCTTCACTGGATTTATATTCGGACCCAAGCCAAGATGCTGCTCCTAAGGGAGTCCACCAACAATAAAGCAGTTTATTGTATGAAAGAGTATAAAGCAGTTTAACAAAAGGGCACCTCCACATGGTGCTACTTAAGCATTGGCTCTGCAGCCTTGAGACCCCATAATGCTCCATCTTGACAGCTGAGCCAATGCATCTGAAAGCATCGTGAAGCTACTCTATGTTTTGAAAGGCTGCAGCTCTCTGCAGTTTATGGCTGGGTTATTTCCTCCTTTGCAGAGTCTTTCACCTTATCCTGCCTGTTGGCTCCTGGACTGAAGAAGCAGTCTTTTACAGAGAAAAGTGACTGGATGGCTTTTTAGTCCCTCCATGAAACGCAGAAGGTTTTTCTGTTTGCTTTCATTGCTGTGGGGACCGTGACAACTCAGAACAGAGCAGTGTGACCCTTTCCCAGCATTACAAGGTCAGCAAGTTTGGAAATAATTGCTGAGTGTCTTCAAACTCTTTTCTGGGATTGGGGAGTAGAAGCAGTGGTGATATGGAAGTGCTCAAATTCAGAGCAAGGATCAGTGAAAACAGCAGCAGAAATTATATTCCAGTTACTCCTCCGACACTTGCATACTAGAGACTGGAGAGGAACATAATAAACACAGAGCAAACACAGGTACTTTTGAATAATAACCACAATACTGTAGCAAACACTTTGCTTCAGCTAGACAGTGATTTCAATTTTTCAGACTGAGTTGAATGTCACTAGGCAGACCCTGCTACAGATTCTTGTAAGGCAGCAGCTTTTATCCAGTGGCCATGCTATTTTTTCCAGCAGAAAATCAGACCACACTTCATATTGTTCAGCCTTTATGTGATCATGGTGGTAATATTGTGAGAACATCGGAAAAAGCAAGGCTGACATGTTTTATTTTGGGGATTTTGGAGGGTGTCTGTTTCGACATCAAGTGTTTCAGTAAAGAAAGACCAAAAATAATGCAGCTGAAAATTGGCAATTTGCTATCAACATTAAAATAAGTGTTTTGGGAACTCTAGTGGGCCAAAAAATGGGCCTGGAAGCTACATGACTCATGAGTAGTCTAATTTCCAAGATAGAAGTTCTTCCTGAAATAATCAGGAGTTGATATTTATGGGATGTTGAAGATGGAACCTTTAGCTGAGGCCAGAAACTAGCAAGAATCTACCTAGCTCCTTGCTTTTTGTTTCCTGTTTCCTGTCTGATTAAGCATCTAGCAGGTTTTGCTAACATGAGATTACATACCGCAGTCTAGGACAAAAAGGAGTGTCTGCCTTCTTACTTCTAAAAACTGTCTGTAAATATTTACTTGGGGTAAAACAGTCTTGTCAAAGCTGCACTCTACTTCTCCATGCAACATCAGAAGCTGATTTCAAGTCAATTTCATTAAATGATCACATCCAGTACGGAGGGATGCAACATGCAATGGCCAATGAACACAGAAAAAAGTCACAGTACTGATTAGCAGACTAGCTATACCTAAGACCTTCAACAAGTAACCCACAGACTTGGATTCCAAGGCGTGAAGAGCAGAATTTGGGTCCGGATTTGCAAGAGGTCTTTTTGATGGAGATGCCTATGTAGTTCCCACATTAGTGAAAATGAAATAAAAAATAAAAAAGAACCACCCAAAATCAACACCAGAAATAGCAACTTGTATTAAAACTCTTGTGGGGTGAAGTTGTAAATCTTTCACTAGACATATCTCTGTATTCCAATTTCAGAGCAAAATTTAGTGATGTGAGATTAGGGATGTGAAATTCTATGCAAAGAATAACAAAAGTATTCTATAGAAAATAAACTTTGGAGGCACTTAAGCTTATTTGACCATGTTTCTCTGATGACTGACATCCCTACAAAATATGGAATCTTCTATCCATTCTTTTTCTTAAATCATGCCAAAAGGACAGAGATCTATTTCCTCTTCCTTGATTGGAAAGAGTGGATGATATGTAAAGAAACTGTCTTGCTCTCAAAAGAGGCTTCCTATTGTGGAATTAGACAGAATGATGACTGTAATGTCTCTGAAGATCCCGCAAGGACAGGTAGGCTTCTGAGGAACTGGGGATCTGGCTGGAGGATGCAGTTCTGCAGAAATCATTGGACTGGCCTTGATTTGGAAATATGAACCTATTATTTCCCATAACATTGTTAGATAAGTCTTCACTTGTGAGTAATCCTATTCCATCTGTATTGTTGCTAGATGATTCTGGCTCACTTGAACCATCCATGAAATACGGCTCAGGAGTTTTTGAAGACAAGACAATAGGAATTCTCTCTTCTGTGTTCTCATCCTGCTCTATTGTTGATGCTGTTGGGAAGTTTTCCCCTGATGGAAGACCTCCTCCTGAATAATCTTGAAGAAAACCATAGTTTTCCTGGTTTGTCATGATGTTGGTAGACAATGGGAAATTGTGACTTGCTTCATGGAGCTCTTTGAAGAAATAGGAATTACTATCTTCACTGCTTCTCTCTTGAGTGATAGCATCATAGGTAAAATACACCTTGCAGGAATTAATCTCAAGGGAGTCAAGGTGGTGGAAAAAGAAATAGCCACGGTTGGTAAAACAGCTGCTTGAGGACTGTCCACTGGTCCCTACTGTGTTCTCAATATGTGTGAAGTATTCCTTAGGAGGGGGAAGGCAGGACTCCTTGATGCTCTTTTGCATGATCTCCAGCATGGAGACATTGGGAGCTTCAGTTATAATGTGGAAGGAAGTAATGGATTCTGGGGAGGACAACCACTTCTGTTGGTTGGAAAAGTACAGAAAAGGGGATTAGTATTCAAAATGGGCTGCAATGCAAACTTCATACCTTAACATACAGATGTTTAGGATCTTTTCTCTTCTCCTGTTTCCATAAGAATTGGCATACATTTCTGTATGGTATTTTACATAAATAATAACATCATGTGCCATATTCCCTAGAATGACTTCTCCCAACCTAGTGTATTTGGCTTCCAATACACTTCCAATAATCTCCAACCTGCATAGCCATATCTAGAGGGTCCTGGAATGGAAAAGACTGATGTAGGACAACTTTGTCTTTGAAATTCAGTGAATCCTGAATGTTGTGCATCTTTAGGAAAGATTTTAAAGAGTTGTCTATTATGTTTGGGGACTTTAGTTATTCTGAAGCTCTATTGTAGTGCAGACCCAGGGTTGTGTTTTTTTGTTTTTGTTTTGCTTGAAATATACAGCCTTATGCTATGATCACCACAGGTAAGGCTGCTTGAAAAATGAATGAAATAAAATCTGCATCCTGATGTAGCTATGCTATACCCAGAATAAGCAAAATGAAGCAAAGGAGAAAGGTGATATGAGTTATTACGTACTCACTCACTTATTTCTCTTGAAGTACAGTATTTTAGATTTTGCCGAAACATGTACAAGTAGTCTCCACTTTAAGAACAAGTTCCGTTCCCAAGGTCCGTCCTTAAGCCAAATTCATATGTAAGCCAGAACATAAGCAGTATTGTGTAATTAACTTGGACTATTGTGTATTTAACTCAAATTATTGTGTATTTAACTTGAGCTTTGTTACAATAGGCTCTGTTCTTAACTATGGGTCATCTGTAACCTAGGCATTCTTAATCCAGGGACTCCCTGTATATCAGCTATTTAACTTAAATTTTCAAAGGCAATCAGAATCTTCCAATAAAACATATCTAAGATAGACTAAAATGGACAAAACGAATGTAATAAAAATTCAGACAATTAGCATGACATTTGCATCAGCATTTCCTCATGAAAAATTATAGAAATGATCACAAAGCTTATGAGGTCTGTCTGAATCATACCAGAGGAAAATTATGTTTTTCTTTCTGGATAGTTCTAATGATTGATATGGATTTCCTATTATGGTTAGTCGCATGGTCAGCCAGATATTTAGACTGGATTTGGCATTTTTATCCATCAACAACAACAACAACAACAACAACAACAACTATTATTATTATTATTATTATTATTATTATTATTATTATTTCCTGCCATTTTTTATAT